AGCGGTCGAAACATGGGTGGTGAAGCGTGGTTCCAAGGTTGAAGGAAGACTCGCCGCATTAAGGTCGCATCAAGCGATATACTTTTGACTTGTTTCAGGCTGGGCCAACAGTAGGCAGGCAGGTGGTAAGCAGGATACGGTGTAGACGCAAGATGGGATATCCGGCGAGGGTCAGCCAGCCCTGCAGTAAGCGGAAGCAGGACTAGGGCGGGCGAAAAGGAAAAACGTGCACGCAAGCGGCGCCCTGACCCGTGGGCAAAAATAATCATTTAGATCCGCGCCCGACTGTAGAGTACAAGACAGGCCCCTCGACACTTTTGCCCGGCGTGCCCAACCAACGCTCCTTCTTCACTGCTCCTGTATTTTGTATAGACTCTCTACTCTTCCATCGGGGCGTCTCTACACGTTTGATACCCGCGTTTCTGCGCTCGTTTTTTTTTCTCCCACGCTGCTGCGCGCCGCTTACGCTTGCAGCCGCCAACCTTGCCTGATATCGATAAGGAAGCCCCTCCAAAAAAGAAATCCCTCGCCGCTCCCAGAGAAAAAGTGCAGCGCACCATCTCCCCTGAGCAGATGCCGCACTCTGAATCGCCATCCATGGCTCCTGCTATCGTCGTCGACAAGGCTGGCACCAGCCCTGCTCCCTCGCAGGAAGATGTCAGCGCCTTCATCGAAAGCATCGTCACGGCAAAGACGTCGCACGCCTCGGTCGATGCCGCCTACGCCCTCACTACCCTCCTCCAGAACTCAGTTGGCTTCCGCGGCCTTCGTGGTTATGGCACAATCGACGAGATCAAGAAACACGCTGGCAACAAGAAGGATGCTGTGCGAAGAGAGGGCGCCATGAACGCCCTTGGCGCCTTTTTTGAGCGCCTCCCGCGCACGCAGCGCATCACAGAGGCCATCTTTCTCGTCCAGGAAGAGGGTCTGGTACCCCTGGCGCTCGACCTGATGGCAGACAAGACTGGCGCCGTCAAGGAGTCGGCCAAGTATGCGCTCGACTCGCTCTTTGACAACCTGAGCGCTGAGGCCAAGGTCGTCGGCCTACTCCCTGTGCTCTCAAAATACCTGGGCAAGAAGTCTGGAAAGTGGCAAGGTGCTGCTTTCGCATACGAGCTCATCGGCCGCATGGCTGACAAGGCCAAGATGGGCATGGAGAGCTTTGATGTAGAGAAGGAAAAGGACGTTCTGCGTGAGGCCATGGGCAAGAAGCTCGAGGGCCTCATCCCCATCGTCGAGTCTGGAATGCACGACCTCAAGACAGAGGTATGCCACTATCGCATCACGAAAACTACAAAATCATGCTAATTATGAACAGGTTGCAAAACAAGCAGTCAAGACTATGAATAGTCTCACCACCCTCCTCCAGAACGATGACATTGCACCCCGGATACCCCTCCTTGTCAAGGCTATCGAAGATCCCTCGACCCAGAGTCTGCAAAAGGCCATCCATGCCCTCTCGCAAACGACCTTTGTCGCCGTCGTCACATCCCCCGTATTGGCCATGGTCACTCCTCTGCTTGAGCGCTCCTTGAACATGCCCTCGACCTCCCAGGAAGTCACTCGCCAGACAGTTGTCGTTGTCGAAAACTTGACCAAGCTCGTTCACGACCCTATCGAGGCGCGCGCTTTCCTTCCCAAGCTTCGCCCCGGTGTGCAAGCTGTCAAGGACCGTGCATCCTTGCCCGAAGTCCGTGAAATTGGACAGCGTGCATTGGATGTCATTGAGAAGGCCATGGGCGACCCTGACCACAACGCTGAGAGCGGTGCCATTGCCCGCGTCCTGTCATCAGATGTTCAGCAGGTTCTGGACAAGGAGATTGCTGCTGCTGCCACCATGCTCAACTTCCCCGGTGATGCCGAGACCTGGAACGTCACGAAGGCCTACATCTCTGAGATGATCGCCGAGGTCGTGAACCAGAGAGAGCTCCAGCGCATTCCTAAGCTCGTCGCGCCCTACCTGGAGCCCCTTGTGAACGCTGGTGATGCCGACAAGGTCGCAGAGGCTGTCCACAAATTTTATGTTGAGGAGGACCACCGCAAATTCGGCCAACCCGTCAAAGAGGATGACGGAGAGACTGAGATTGTTAACGCCGTCTTCTCTCTGGGTTATGGTGGTATGTTGCTTCTTTCGCACACCAACCTGCGTCTGCTCAAGGGCCACCGTTATGGTCTTTGCGGTCGCAACGGTGCTGGAAAGTCCACGCTTATGCGAAGTATCGCAAGCGGCAAGTTGGAAGGTTTCCCATCTCAGGACGAGGTCAAGACCTGCTTTGTTGAGCACAACCAGGGTGAAGATGCCGATCTTTCTATTCTGGAGTACATTGTTCGTGACCCCCGCTTCGCGGACGAGAGCAGGGAGCGCATCTCCGAAGTCCTGGAAGAAGTCGGTTTTACCTCTGGACCCGAAGGCAGGCAATCGCACAAGGTCGGATCTCTTTCCGGAGGTTGGAAGATGAAGCTGGCTTTGGCCCGTGCTATGCTTATGCGCGCCGATGTCCTTCTTCTTGATGAGCCTACTAACCACTTGGATGTCGCCAATGTTGCGTGGCTTGCAAAGTACCTCAAGTCGCACTCCGATATCACCAGTTTGATCGTCTCCCACGACTCTGGTTTCCTTGACGAAGTCTGCACAGACATCTACCACTACGAAAACAAGAAGCTGGTATGCTACAAGGGTAACCTGGCTGATTTTGTTCGACAAAAGCCCGAGGCCAAGAGCTACTACACCCTGTCGGCTACCCAGGTCCAGTTCAAGTTCCCTCCTCCTGGTATCCTCACAGGTGTCAAGTCCAACACTCGCTCTATTCTGCGCATGACCAACTGCTCATACACCTACCCTGGAGCGTCCAAGCCTTCCCTTGTTGATGCTTCCTGCAACTTGTCCCTGTCATCTCGAGTGGCCATTATTGGTGCCAATGGTGCTGGTAAATCTACCCTCATCAAGATGCTTACTGGAGAGACTATTCCTCAGGAAGGTACTGTCGAGAAGCACCCCAACTTGCGTATTGGTTACATCAAGCAACACGCTCTTGAGCACGTCGAGATGCACTTGGAAAAGACGCCCAACCAGTACCTCCAGTGGCGTTATGCCAACGGTGATGACCGTGAGGTGCTCATGAAGCAGACTCGTGTCCTCACTGCCGAAGACAAGGCTCAGATGGAGACTCCAATTGATCTTGGTGATGGCAAGGGCCCCCGCAAGATTGAGGCGCTTATTGGTCGTTCCAAGTTCAAGAAGTCATTCCAGTACGAGGTCAAGTGGCTCCACATGCTGCCCAAGTTCAACTCGCACATCTCCCGTGAGACTTTGATGGAGAAGGGCTTCACCAAGCTCGTTCAGGAATTTGATGACCACGAGTCTTCGCGTGAGGGTCTCGGTTACCGTGTCCTCGAGCCCAAGGTCATCTCTAAGCACTTTGAGGATCTTGGCTTGGACCCTGAGATTGCGAACCACAACGAAATCTCCGGTCTCTCTGGAGGACAAAAGGTCAAGGTTGTGCTCGGTACGTACACTTCATTTGCAATACTGACGAATCATTGCTAACATATACATAGCTGGCGCCATGTGGAACAACCCTCATCTTCTCGTCCTTGACGAGCCTACCAACTTCTTGGATCGTGACTCCCTTGGTGGACTTGCTGTTGCCATTCGTGAATACAAGGGTGGTGTCATCATGATTTCCCACAACGAAGAGTTTGTTGGTGCGCTGTGCCCTGAGCAATGGCATGTTGCCGATGGTCGCGTTACCCACAAGGGCCACCTTGCCGTTAACATGGACCGTTTCGAAGACTCGCGCCCAGGATCCAGCAACGTGAGCAGCAACGTGAGCTCCGCAGCTCCATCTACCAACGGCACTCCTGTCATGAGTGAAGCCGAGGGTGGCAAGGACGACATGAAGTTCAGGGCCAGGAAGAAGAAGAAGATGACCAAGAAGGAACTCAAGGACCGGGAAGTTAGGAGAAGATTGAGGTACATTGACTGGCTGAACAGTCCTAAGGCATGTCTTTCTCCCATCATAAGCAACTTGAGTATGACACTAACTAAGCGGTCAGGGCACACCCCAACCTCCCAACACTGATGACGAGGCCGACTAGATGCGTTTATGACTTTTTTTGGTGTTACAACCGCACGATATCTTAGACTTTGCAGAACTGCATGACCCGGCGTTATATAGAGGTTTGGAGGGATGAGTGCGTTTATTTTTACGCCAAGCGATAGACAACAGGTTCTTTCGTTTGGTAGACTCGATATATGACCAAAAGTATTCGTTTTCGTTCAAAATGCCTGCCCATCTATTAATTGAACATGTGCTGCCTTACATTTACGTGTTTGACTAGTGTGGTGAATCCGACTGTTAGCTTGACCGCATTCTAGGAGTGATTTGACCAGTGCTGTTGGTGCAGGAACGCCCATCAAGCATTGTCATTTGGATTGATCCTAGTTTATAAAGACTAAGCACGACTTTGAGGCTGGTGTTGGTGGTTCAGTTTAGTGCTTGGCAGAGTGACGTACTGGCTTGGATGAGGTAGGCAGTGGGTTTGTTTGCTCCTTCCTTTTGCTTCACTTCGGGGCCTCTCACTATGCTCCACTTCATCATTCTCGAAATTCTTCTCCATCTTTCTCACACGGTTTAAATTCATCGTCGCTAGGGGCTTATTCTCTTTCACGCAGCGTCTCTACTCACTCGTTCACTTTCCTCTCAATAACACAACTCTCTCTTCAACGTGACGACCAACTTACATTCACGTACACAAACACGCTCCAATGAACCTCTTCACTACCTCCGTTGCCTTTGCTGGCCTGACGGCATTGGCTGTTGCCTCGCCTACGATTGCCTTGTCCAGTGCCGTTGCTATCACTACGGCAAAGGAGGCACCAACTAACACTCACTCCACTGGACACAACAATGCAAAGCCTATGTGAGTAGTCCAGTGCATGCCTCAGTGATATCTTAAGACGGATTTCCTAACATATTTGAAATCTTAGTCTTCATCACCCTCATATCACTGAAACCTCGACCGAGACACATGTAGCCATGGCAAAGAAAGACGCTCTGGCATTTGACGATAAGGAAAAGAAGAGATACGAATGCTCGAATGATCGCACCGGCGTGCTGATTTGCCGTTATGGGTTCTACTCCACGGATCACTATTGCAAGAAGGGTACGCGGTGCAGCGATAGGTGTGCTTGTTGCCTGGGAGTCCGTGAATTGGCCATGGAGGATGAGGGCTTTGGAGATGCTTATGCTTAGGATGGGCAAGACAGTGTGATCTCCAAGACGGAAAGTTATCATTCCCTGGGATCAGTGGATATGATATGAATTCCGAAAAAGTTAATTTGCTATATTCTGGGGGCGGAGGATGAGTGCGAGACGGTTGCCTCGCCTGATCCAGGCTTCAACTATCTCAATTTTGAGAACAAAAGTTAACATTTTAGTTTAATTATCTGAATATCTGTTTTATCTAGGTGGAATACAACCCTTGGTTCACTTAATCCCCAGCATCACCGCCTGCATTGCTACTGCATACACTATGTCCCGCCTCACCCTCCTCAGCACGGCGCTCATTCGTCGTGCGACGACGAAGCCCCGCACCGCCCGAGTGACTAGGTCTAGGATGCTCATCATGCTCTACCAACGGAAAGTGCAAGCCCGGCTTACTCGCCAGCGCATCCCTAATTTCCTCCACACTCTTAGCCGCCCACCCTGCACTGCCCAGCTTACTCAGCGGGTACAAGAGCTGATTCTCCGGATGCATAACCACTTCCTCGATACTCGAGGCCGGCTTACTCATGATGATATCAATGTCTTTTCTGATCTGCAGACAGAACGCGTCGAGCGGGAGATCATTCACGTCGTCGCCGAAGGGATTCTCAATCTCGCGACCGATGAGCGCGATACCGAGGATTATGTATGCGGCGAAGATGCTCGCGGGAATGGTGATGTAGCCGAGGAGTTTGTACAGCTGGAAGGGGAGAAGCAAGATATAGACCCAAGTGATTTGGCTGATAGCAATGCTGTAGGCGATGGGCAAGGGGGTTGACAGGATGCGCTCTGTGCCCGCGAGAACGTCGTTGAAAGTCGTGATTGCATTTAGCGACTGTGTCTGGTAGATTGATACTTTGAAGGTGCCGTTGTCATAGATGGATTTCATGTAGATGCTGAGGTAGTTGAGGATTTCGAGGGGGAGGTTGCCGAGGGGCACGCGCGAGCGCTTGAGGAGTTTACGCGGGTTGGATTCGGCCATGGGGAGACCCAGGAATTTACCGGCGGTTTTGAGCACGCTGGGTTTCTTGTTGACATCGGGCTGGTCGGCTTCGCGGGCGAAGGTGTCGAGGTGGCCGGCTAGGTGCTGGAGGTCGTCGTAGTGCACGTAGGGCTCGAAGCGGAGCTTGTGCTTGAGTGCGACGGCGTAGGCGGCGATGAGGTTCAGGCAGTTGATTTTGGCCAGGAGGTCTTGCTTGCCGAGCTCCGGGTCCTTGTCGTGACGCTCGTCGACGTGAATCCAGATGAGGCGGGCGAGATTCTGGGATGCGAAGGTGAGTTGGGCCCAGTATTTGCGGCCGTCGTTGTAGCGCTCATAGGCTGTGGAGCTTCGGAAGCTCAGTGCGAGACCGACGACGAAACCGAGGACAGTGAGCAGGAGCTGGTTGACGCTGACTGTGGGGTGTAGTCAGTACATGTTTGCGAGGCAGTGAAGCAGTTGTGGAATGCTTACGGTCATGCACGAATTTTGATATCAGTGTAATCATGCTGGCCCAACCGCCCACAAACAACAGAGGCAACACCATTTCTGGTGTCACACTGCCGTGAACACGGAGAAAGACGGGCCATTTCGAGTGGTGATCGAGGTCGCGTGGGCCAATCTGATCAATGTTAGTAACTAGACACAGTGCTGTCGTGAGAAAAAGAAGACATACAAAGTAATCATCAAAGTCCTTGTCGCTGTCTTGCTTTTTCAGCGGCGGCCGTTTTGAAGAATCTCCCTTGGTGCCATTGGACACACTGGCCGTGCTCTGAGCCTTCTCCGTCATGGTAATTGCTATCTTCACCTGCAAAGATAACAAAATCAAAAGTGTTGATGCGAGCAACTCGTTTGCGCTCCAGGCCGCAAGGCGCGAGAGAGCCTCATATTATTGTGTCGCGTGCCCCCCTCCCCTATCTCTGGCCCGTTTCATTGAAACATTGTACCAGCCACTAAAAGTAGTGCGATCCAGGCGTTGGCGTCTGGGTAGCGCTGGCAGCGGGACAAGGTTATAATGGCGAACGCTGCAAGTGGCAAGGCTGTGATAAACGACTCCAATTGAAAGCAACCCCGTGGCGGGAGTGGTGTAAGCGTAGGCTTGATTCAGACACAGCCCGACTTGGCAGGGTGCTTTCGCGGGCTTACTGGAGCGTGGACCGCGGGACTGAGGTTGCAGATGCCACAGCTGAGTCGTGGTTTTGCACTGCCCTTCTGTAGGCGATTGAGCGCACAGATTAGATCGACGGGCTAAGGTTAGCTGTGATTCGCTTGTCTAATCAAAGCTTTCAGCTGGGCTGAGGTCGAGATCTTATCCAACGACTTGGCGGTGATGTCCTCGCCAAAAGCGCGGCTCCTTAATCATACGAGAGATGATCAGGGCTGCGCACATATTATTCCAGGCCGTTGTGCTGTGGTCCTGCAAAGACTTTTCGGTTCCCACGAACCCGGCGTCTTTTCTCAACTACGATTCATATCGGTGAAGGGACAAGACCTCTTTTCAGCTAGCACATAATATATTTTAGTGAGGTTAGAGTGTATCGCAGACGTTGGCATTGATCGGAATGCCACATTCGGAAGACACCATAACCAAAGGGTCAATTATTCCTGCCACGACGATCATTGAGGCATTCGAAGCTCTTGTTAAAGTATTATGGTACTGTGGTTGAGTCAGGTTCTCTACCCTTAGAAAAGACTGGGACCCGTAGCCCCACCTAAACATGTCCCATATAATCGGTACCACTGGGTTGTCTATGTAAGCGTAGGTTGTAAACTCTCAAACGCGGCGCTGCAATCAATAGAGAAATGCTTCCCCTCCACATACGCATTTCAGTCATGCAAGCGAATAATTGTGGTTGACGATGAGAGAACAAGTATTGGGATGCATCGAAAAAGAAGCGATCGAGTCGACCAGGCGCGATGTCGCTAACAATTAGCGGCGCGAAGGATGTCAGATCGAAGCTTAGCGGTGACACACGGTATTCACCGATGCGCACCCAAGCTATCCCAATCACGAACCACTAGAACATGGCCAAAACATCCATAGAGGAATGCGAATCCAACAACATCAATCAAGGCCAGGGTACTACTAGAGAAATGCAGTGTAAAATCATTGCTGGCAAAAAGACCACTAACAAACTGGTGGGGTCAGCCTCCCGATCCTAGTCTCGGATTGACATCGCGTCCCTGCATACACTCGTCATAGGTCAAAGCAAAAAAGCCTTGAGATCGCCCTGTGCATAACAGCAACCAGCCAGCTGACCAAGGAAAACGTGAAAAAAGTAGCGTATATTCAATGTCTAATAACTAATCCAACCGGGGCATATGTATACGTCAGAGCGAGACGTTTTTTAACTTTGATCTTCTCTCCAGCTTTCCCATACACCTTTATTGTAAACTTTCTAATAGCTACATTAATAGCCAGCTAAATCTCCGAGCGCTTCATACAGACTATCCTGAGTCCTTGCCTAGGCCTTCACGGCCACATACACACATACCACAATGTCGTTTATAGCACAAGCAATAAAGGACAAACAAACGAATGTCGTCATCTTCTCCGCGACAGCCATTGCGCTGTACGGCTACGATCAGGGCATGATGTCGCTCATCAACACAAACTACAACTACCTCGAGACCATGGGCTTGTACGAGGAGTCCCCCATGGTCGGTGTCATCGTGGCCGTTTACTACCTCGGGTGTGCTGTAGGCGCCGTCCTTTTCTCCAAACTCGCTGATGAGCTGGGGAGGAAAAGAAGCATCTTTTTCAGTTTGGCAACGGCTTCGTTGGGGAATCTGCTCATGTTTGTTAGTGGGATGGGCATGCTTGGGAAGAGCAGCCAGGTAGCTTTGGGTATCATGTTGACGGGAAGGGTGATCATGGGTCTCGGCGTTGGCGGTATCGACGCGGTAATCCCAACGTACTCTTCCGAGTTGAGTTCAGATGATTCCCGTGGTAAGGCTCTGGCGCAAGAGTTTCAGAGCAATATTTTCGGTCTTGTCATGGCTTTTGGCATCAATCTCCTTGTAACGATTCTGCTCGGCAAGGAAAACCAGTGGGCGTGGCGCATCCCCATTATCGTCATGCAGGTCTATCCTGTCCTGCTGATTGCGTTCGTGGAGCGTCTTCCAGAGTCTCCGCGCTGGCTTATTTTCCATGACCACAAGGAACAGGCAGAAGAGGCAATGGAAGATATTTATGGAGAGCAAGGAAAGGATAAGCTTGAAGAGCTCTTGGAGCAGCACAAGAAAGAGAAGGATGAGAAGGCTGGCTATATGGACATGTTGACACCTGGACACCCACAGTTCCACCCTACAATGATCACAGTCATGTCTCAGGTCAACCAGGCATTGACTGGATATGGCGCGGTCAGCGTTTATGGGCCACAAATCTTCGAGGTATGTGATACCAAGTCCTGGAGACCTTATGCAGGGAAACAGTACTAAAGTGCATCGCAGTTACTTGGCTTCTCAGTTCGCAACTCAGAATATCTCACCTTGGGAAACTACACATCATACTTTTTCCTCATGACCCTCGCTTGGCTTCTCATCGATGCCATCGGTCGCCGCAAGATCCTCATTCATGGCTCTATCATCTTATCGACTTCCTTTGCACTTCTCGCTCTCTTCGGCGGCCTCGTAGCAAATTCTGACTCTCTGCACATCCCCGTGTATGTCCCCGGTATCATCGGCACAGTTGTTCTCTTTGTAGCTACCGGCGCTTTCGGAATCGGCTGGCTTTCGACTGTCTGGCTGTTCCCAACTGAAGTGTACCCCACCACTGCCCGCGCACAGGGAACTGCCATCTCCGTCATTATCTGGGGCTTGGCCAACTTTGCTATTACGTTTCTTACGCCAGTGCTTTTCAACAACTTGGACTACTATATCTTCCTTGTGTTTGCAGGTACCAATGCTTTTGCCGGCCTATGGACGTACGTCTATCTGCCGGAGACGGGTGGACGCACTTTTGATGAGAACATGGAATTCTTTAAGGAAGCGGCGGAACAGGGCACCTGGAGAGTCAGCAAAGTGGGCAAGGGCGAGTGGAAGAAGATGGTGTATCCTGATCCCGAGGGCGAGGGTAATGTGGATGCCGAGCGCGTGCCGTTATTACACAGGATAGAAGATCAGGTTCCCAGTATGGGTAGTAGCTGATCATGCTGGCCTAAAATGGGTAGGTAAAGTACATAGATTACTTTTTTTTCTATCCAAGGTATGACTACCCAGCAGACTGGAGTGGATTGAAGTATGGGGGCGGCTGTGGCAAAAAGGTGCAATAGAGGTATGTATCAGCATTAGAAACATAGATCCAATTTAATTATCGCTCTCGGTCAGCGTTTATCATGTCAAAACCACAACGCGTGCGATACTATTTTGACTCGAGAGAACGTATTGGTGATCAGCCATTGTCTCAGCTCGGTACACGTAGGAGTAGTCGGTATCTCAACAAGGGGCATGTTGTCACGCAACAAAGACAAAAGCTGCTGCCTTAGCCCATTGATCACCCACTTTGTTGGACTCGGATGTCTCTGCTCGGCGTTAACACCACTCGTTCTTTGGCTGAAGTCTCAGTGGCAGTAGCGTTATCATCCGGTAATCTCTAGGCATCAACATAAACGCTTCATTGTTCACGAGGCGGTGCAGTCGGAGAAGTCGGAGTCGGTGTTTATCTCCGCCGGAGGACGCCAACCCCGTGCGCCTGCAGTAGAGTATTGCGCAGGCACCAATAGAAAGTAGCTCACTGCAGCATGAACAGCGAAACAGAGAATAGATCCAAGTTCTGCAAGGTTGAAATTAAGCTCTTTTCAGCATAGCAGCTGCCCATCAGTGCGACACTTCCAGACGGCTGATGCATGACGCATGCCGCATAGTCTGTGTCAGCTCTTCACATAAAGCTCCTGAGCTGTCACAATCAACAAGTCGCCCATCTCCAACTACTTGCAACCACGACTTGAACTTGGCTAGTCTGAAACCCACATTGTACTGACCTGGACTCGGGAGGACGCGAGTTTCCACACGTGGCTCCACGCTTTTGACAAAGTCCCTGCATTGCGTGTTCCTTTGCGAAGCATAGTCGGTTGCTGGCGCCGACCAATCATAGCAGAGGTGTTTGTGAGCAACCTCAAATAAGCAGAACGAGGGAGGCCAACGCGCGTTATATAGCCAAGTCCTCCACACCCCTCGGGTCGCCCATCTGCAACTTCTGAGAACACCAGCTCTAATCCTCCTCTTTCGACGTCCTTGTTGTACTATATATCCAGAACCGAAAAGAAAATCAAGTCCCAACTCGAATCACTCCCTGCTTTTCAAACAAGGGACGCTGTCGCCAAATCAGCCATGTCGACCACACACCTCACAATCCACGATCTCCTGCGCATAACATACACCTACGAAATGCAAGCCATAGAAGCTCAAGCACAAAGCCAACAGTACCTACAACGTCCCCGCTCCGACTCTGCATGTTCCGTAAGTCCTTTCTAGTCCCCCCGCAACATGTCGGTAAGCTCTTCACAGTGCGCGTACTGACAAAGAAGCAACAGATGCCAGAAATATGCGCACATCTTTCACCTCCAAGTCCGAGACTCTCATCTGCATACTCAAACCTCGAAGAGCTAGAAACGGATTTTACAAGTGCGTTCAGTCAGAAGAAGAAAACGAGCGTGTGAAATATTACATGTCGCTCTCCATTCGGCCCTGAACCCCAGGGCCAGACAGGATTGAGCATGTCAGATCGAAAGATCTTACAGCACCCATGGCCGCAAAGAGGCCTTCGTAGGCGCGAGGAGAGTAGACTGTGCAGAACTCCATCGCCTGTCTTCCCTTGTTCTTTTCTGCACACCATATCGAGGACACGAGCAGTACGCATCACGCCACATTTCCAAGCTCTTTGCTTCTTCTCCCTTATACCCCCACACTACTGGGATTCTTTTCCGGGCGAACGCGCAACGTTTGATGGAGGTCGGACTCCACACACTACCCCACTCATGCAAGGAGAGGAAACAGGTTCGCGTGGGACGGTATGACGATCGTACCGGGCGTTGTTTCCGCGCACATCGGTCCGACGTCGCGCGTGTCATTGGCTGTAGTGAGAGGCAACGGGAGAGAGACGAGGGGCCAAATTGGGGCTGCGGAGGGCTGGAGCGTATGAGGATCGGAGTTTTGGTGTCAAGCGCGAGAGGCGCGCATGTAGCATTCCATGTTGTGTAATCAATCTAATCATGTGATCGATCAAACCCGTGCGATATCCAGTTGTGCTCGCGCCAATTTGCGCGTATCCCAGTAGCTGTACGATAAAGAAACTTGACGTGAGAATTTCAGGTGTCTTAGTTGTTCATGTTGATGAGAATTGCTTTCATTGTTGTGGGTTGCCCACGGTGATTGAAAATAGCTTCCATTGCTGTTGTACTCACCCCAGAATTTCTCTAAGTCGCTTAGGCGAATAATCAATTTCTGAGAATTGCGCAATCAATTCCTACCGTGCATATATGGTAGTTGCACAATCTTGCCCAAATAAAGGCTGATATTGACGCGGCCTTTTCTGAGGGCTTTGGAAGTGGTGCAATGCGACTCATCGTCGACGCGAAACCTGTGCTTGTGCACTGTGAGGCAGATAATCACATTGCACTGCAAGCCGGGATATCAACATATCATGCTTGCGCCTACCTCTCATGTTCGTTCATTCTTCAGAACCTACGTCTCAATAGCAGTTATGCGTTGCTTCTTTTGGTCGATTGTACCCCTGGGCGGTGGATTTTCAACGCAGCAAAGCTCTTGTAGAAATCGAGCCATGATCTTGCCATAAGAACACTGTCTCTGCACCAGATGACCAAATGACCCCGCCTCATCTTTAGTCGTAGTCATTCCCAGAGAAGCGCTAGATAACGCGCTGCCGGGGTTGAACATGATGTTGTGATGTAATCCGTGTGGTCATGGCGGCGTGCAGAAGGGGTCATCGAAGCTGCAAAAAAAGCAACCAAAAAGACCGCCTGTAGCGCTCTCGTATATACACAACGTGCACCAGCTCCAGCTGGGGAATAAAAAAATGCTGCAGTCCATAGCCGAGCTTCATCCTCAGCCTATATCCTCTCCAGGAGCAAAAAAGTGCAAAAAGTTCGGTTGTATCAGGCCCTTGTTAGTCCTATACTCACCTCCTGATACAACCTACGTCTTTTGCTGGAATCGAACCTCTCGCCGCAGTCGAACCTCTATCCGGACGGAACGCAGAAATCAAATTGGACGTACCTGACCCTGGCCCATTCGCCATTCACCTACCCTCTCTGGCTGGGTATTGCCGTATGCCATCCTATAGCATGGAAGCTGCTTAATGAAAGTATCGAGGATTTAATAACTTATATACCCAAAGAAAGTCGGCGGGGTCAGGTGTGATATCATTTTGGGTGGCAGAATGAATGCACGGGGCAACATGAACATTGGCCAAGGCGGGGACGATACCACCTCCCAGGGGTCCTGCGTGACAAACAGAGGGCATAGTCGTGCCTTGTGATGCTCCATCTTGCTGCGGAATTGGTTGGGGCCATTGCCCTACCAGTCCATATCTTTCTGCACAGTCTTGACCTGACCTTGCTTCTCCATCCACCACAGAGACACCTTACAGCAACTCTGCTTAGGACCGAGCATTGCTTCACGCAGGCCTTCTCCTCATTGCCTCAATGCCTCATGCATGCCTTTTCTTATTTGCCTGTGCTGGCTGACCTGGTGTTGCATCCATCGAGCGCGCGGGCAATGAGCCTTGGCGGGGAGTTGACATTGTGCCCCTCTCCCCCCTTCAACGACAACGATACCAACGCGAGACCATCACCATACAAGCCGGCGATGTCTTTCTACTCATGAAAGCTTGCAGACGCTTCTCTAGAACGGAGTAGCGACCTCATGTGTGCTCAAGGTATGTCCTTTACAAGACCTTCGACGCGGCAGCGGACCTCAACACCATCAGGCGAGTCACCCATGAGGCAGACAATGGTCCTGAAGGATCTACACACCACACTCCAAGGAGAGTCATGAGTGACTTGAGAAGGTCTGATACAACCTCATGTAGATGCAGGAGGTAATGGCAGTGTCCAGCTTGGATCTCTTCCGGACATCTTGTGAACGGCAATCTCTCGACTGCAGTAAGTTGAATCGCTGCGATGACGCGAACCATTCTTTGCGAATCGATCAACCTCTTCTCATGAGAACAGAATAGGCTCCTGATGCATTGTACAATGCCCTTGTATGCAGCGCGAACCTAGTCGAAGCAACGAATCGCCGCTACGAGCGCCTGCATACATCCCTTTGACTTCCTATCGCGCATCTCCCGAATGCAACAACGGAGATAAAGCGACTTGGGATCAAGAGGAATACAGAGGCTCCAACAAGGGGCAATGGCAATTGCAGACACCTTGCTCATCTCTGCAAGATCACACTTGCTGCAGCAAGCTCCGCGAAGGTCGCTACAACGCTGAGCAACGAACAACACCACGGGAGCTCTTGCTGTGATTGACAAACAGCTGAGAGAAACCAATGTGGGCAAGTATGACAACAGTGCATGTCGATGAAGACTGACATCAGCTGTGTAGATGATCACTCCCAGCGTACCGCAGCTCGATGTCTGCCCCTCTTGCAAGGCTTAAAGGGAATTCAGTACCCCTCCCTGCACAATGCGTACTCTGGTTATGAGATTTTTTACAATCCCGGCCGGCTTGAAAGGGGCGACAGATTCTTTACAATGTCCTCGACCGACTCGGTTGTCCAGTCATGAAAGTCTTTGTTCGTAAACAACACCTCGAGTACGAGACGCCGCCTCGGCCGCAGAGTCATCGCGTTACCCAGTATACCAAAGACCATCGTTGGGCAATGAATCGAAACATTCGAGAGCCCTGCCGTCGAAATACAACACCATTTGGCCAAACAAGGAATCGTATGTATGGATGTTGTTTACCCGAGGGCGCCGACACATTGTGGTGACCACCGAGCAAAGCCAAAGGCCGACAAACGCACTTCCAAATGTATGGTTGAGAGTCCCCAGGCCGATTCATACCATCGCGCAGTTCAAGTCGCATCTTCAACCCAGCTAACAGGTGTGGTAGATGCAAAACGCAAGATCAGCATCATGGCTTGCTACTGGCCTGCGAAATTCTGGTGCCCGATCACCAGTTCACAAAACAGCGCATGAAGCACCTCGCATCAAGCCCTCGAACGGCTACCAGTCTCTCTTTCGTGCAAGGATACCATTCTTAAGAGATGGGCGATGTATGAAGAGCCAGAAACGACGGTCCTGCTGGCACTAAGGCTGCCGCTCCTGCAGACGGCCATTCAGAGACTGTACATCGAGGCACATCTCCATCGGGTACGCTGGTGATCGATCGTATATCCCAAAGCTTTCTTTGTTTCAGATCCCCAGAACTAGCAACCATACAGGCAGATGCAGAAGATCGGTACCACATCTCAGGTATCTGGATACCAACATACAAGACCAGTTGCATGGTGCAGTTAAGAGAGGGTTCCGCAGACCATACCTCGCCGGACAGTAACAGGCTTGGATAAGGAGAACAAGGAGCAAATTCGAAGTGGCCCGAGAGCTCAATGGAACTTTCCTGGGCACCATTCGACTTGGCAGAAAATCGCGATAACAATCAGGTTCCGTCGCAGACTCCTCAGGCACATCTGGTTGCGCTGCCGAATAACCTTCTTCTGCTCAAGAGGAGAAAAAGAAGGATCATGTTATTCTCACCCGGATGATACTCGCTGGCGTATTGCTTCTCAGGATCGTTATGAGTTGGGCTCCTCTCAATTTCTCCGACCAGAAGAATCCATAAGAAGAGCTAGAACCATGAGAAGTTCCGATACTGAGATACGCTTCTGCAAACGGAAGATTCATGCTGCCTTCAACCAGTTTAAGGGTAGCCTAGGGCTTCTCACCCAAACCAAGCAACATCAGCGTCTCTTGGTACTGCAAAATCTTGACCGATACATATAGCTACCATAGGCACGAACTCTCGTGAAGGGCAATGTATACACCACTCCAGCCGAAATAGCGCGTGTGGTCTTTCCAGGGAGTGGAAGCTACGACTTGGGCTGACATGACAGCGCGCCTGGGCAATCCAATCCACGACGGGTGATCAAAATATTCGAAGGACCCAAAAAAACTCCGAAAGGACCATCCGTCGGTATGATGTATCCTATCTGGCGATGTCGTTGGTAGCTTGTTCTTTACCGTGGTCTTGTCCGGTAAACTCAACAAGTTGTCCTGGTGCAGATGCGGAGGCGCATCGACCGATGCACGCAAAGTTCATGGCCCGAACAGTCCATTCATACATGATTGAAATATGACAATGTGTCATACCGGCAATGAGAATATCGCCAACGAATGGGTCCAACAGACACATGCTTTGACCAAGGGAGCCAAGTCGATGATCCGAATACTCCTCGAGGCGTTGACTGAAGTCTATGAATAAGACGGTCATGGGATATATTCTTCTGAGGATGAACACCGAAGCGCGGGTCTGGCCTGTGTGGACTTCAGCCGACAACTGTCGCCAAGGTACCTTGACATGCCGCCTGAAAGCATGCCGTCCACTAAAACCACTGTCCAGGTGGAACCGTCATTCTCGTCAAGATCAATAGCAACCATCCATAAGCTTGCTCCAGCAAGGCCGTGGGTTGAGCGGGATCTAAAAGTCATGATGTCCAAGTCAAACTCAACCCATACATCTCCGCCATGAAGTATGATAAGGGGAGATGTCACATCCCTCAATGAGACATCCAGTGTGAAGCGGAGACGTGCCGCTTGTCGCTCTCGTTCATGTCATGATCACGAAGTACGGTACTCAATGTCGAATCTCCTAGCTCTTACTCAAGCTCAATGTGCTTGTCAAAGCGGATATGCCAGCTCCCATCATACCGCATTACTAATGCCTTGTACGGATCACATCCAAGCATTTGGCGCTCATGACAATGCTCCGCCGATGGTCTCACCAAAGAGAGCAACGATGCCATCGCCGATAATGGCCAGTGAAGTGCCCCTCATGGCCTCGAAGTTCTGCTTGTGTTCCGTTTGCCAAGGAAGGTGGCCGTCACTATGTCGATGCCGTTGTCAACCTTCTTGTCGGGCGGAGCGCGATATCGTATTATGGAAGGCCAAATTAAAACCGACAGCCTCGTCGCTGCAGTTTGGGACATTGGACGTCTTCGTATGTTCTATGGCTTCTTATTCAGCTCTGCAAGAATTCACGCGAATTTGCGATTATGGCCTAAGAAGAGAACGTTCATCGTCAGCCACGTACACAGAACTCAATGGGGGGATACTTGCGGGAGAAGGCACACTGTGCCAATGATTACACCATGACATCTGCTTCTACCGACAAATCGCATTCGGCGTCGATGCTCAGGATCCTTGGTTATGTGTTGTGTGGCGCCTGTCGGCTGCCCTTGTGTTGTGATCTTTGAGTCGTTCCATTCGCGTCCCGCGGGGCGTATAGGCGAACGAATTGGAGCCGGCAGCATGCCATCGTCGTCAGTTACGGGCTTCCGCCTATGCTGCTGGCGCTGGTGACTCGCTGTTAGGGGTGTGCTTGATATGTAGGATGCCCTACACGCCAGCCGCTGATGCTGCCTCCCGCATAGCTTTGGCTCTGGAACCACAGTGTCATTCATCCGCGCCACGTTTCTGTGTGTATGCCTGTGCCCAGCGCGGGGCAGCAATGATTCTGGTTATGGCAAGCATCATCTATGCCTTGCCATGCATGATAGAAGGGTGTCCCTCGTGGTGTGTGTGTTCCGGCAGAGGAGGTACCTCCGCTAGGAATATCCATCGACTGGGGTCTTGGCGAGGTTGCGGACAGGACGCGACCGGCTTTCTGGAAGAGAAGCATCGCCCCTGGAGCCGCAAAGAGGCTAGGATTCCAGACCAGACACTTATTGTGTTGCTCTCTGTGTTTGGATATCCAACATTTGGCAGGGGGAGGGACGGCGGGGGGAGGAGAGGCTCGATGTGAAGAAGCGCCAAAGCTCAATCCACAATGGAGAGGCCAGGAGGCGGACGACGAAAGCAGCAGAGCATAGCCTCATCTATCGAGAAACAAGGACAGGAATAAAGAGAGCTGAGTGCAGAAAACGACAGCGCAAGGCCGAAAGCTGACTGATGTCGACACGGGGGTGGGGATGTTGTGTCGATGAGGGGCTTGGGACAAGCAAATTGTCCGGCATCCTATTCCCCACCAACGGAACCCTGGAAGCTACTTGCGGACGTGCTCACCATTTGCTCAAAATGAACGCGCAGAAACGCCCACGATACAGTCTTTGAAGCTAGAGCATCACGGAGGAAAACACCATCTACATGAATGGCTGTAGCTAAAAATCTGCTGTGTGCTGGTTCAGATATTGCAGCAAATGCATGCTACACAGTAAGACGGGTTGCTACGTGGGTCACGACTATGCTTTACGTCAAATGGCACATCACGCAACAATGGCACGAAACTTTGGGATCGTAATTCATTTCCATGGTCTAAGTGTTGGTGACTATCCGGCCTAAGAGAGAACGATATATTTCTCAATTATGCCAACGGGGAATATCGCTATCATGCTGTCCAGATTGTCCATCCAACGCCAGGGCTTGCAGAAGCAGCAAAGTGGCTAATACCAAACAAAAGAGATGGGCAAAGATAATGGGGTCAGTCCGTTATATGTGAGCCTTCGAAAGCCTAATGAATCATCGCTACGTGTCATGGTGGGAGGCTGTGCTTTTGGAACCCCATACAGAAAGTTGGGGAAAGAGGACAGCTTCCCTGCCCATGACAACGTTAAAGTATCGCCGAGTTGGGTGATGTCAAAGATGTAGGCTCACGGCTTCGCGTACTGTTGTGTCCATTCTTGAGCTGTCTGAATAGCCTGATTCTTGTTCTCCTTCCATGCCTGGGCAACATCGTTCGCAAGGGGATCGTCAGGGTTGGGCGCGCCCAAAAGAGCTTGGATCGAGAGTAGGATCGTACGAATCTGGAGGGCAGGCGACCAGTTACCTGAACATGTTAGCAAAGCCTCGGTATTGTGAAGTATGACTCCAAACTTACTTTTCAGAACATCAAGGCAGATGCGACCCAGACGATCAATGTTGGGGTGATAGATTTTTGTGAGAAAGCGGACCTTGGGCGGCGTCATGGGGTAGTCATCTGGGAGAAATAGCTCTAACTTGAAGACACCACCTATGAAGGGTTTGTCAGTTGAAAACTTCAACATTACTGGGCACCAGCATACCCTCATAAGGCGACTGGCTAGGGCCGTCAATGGTAACATCGAAATACCTCAGGTTGTCGTCGTGCGGCGTCGCGCTGATTCCTTGAACACTACACGGGGATCCCAGATCAGTAAAATAGCATGCCATACCGTCGGGAATACCTACGGCTCGTTGACCAGGCGCTCAGTTTCCTTGATGATTCGCTTGGGCAGTGCCATAGCTGATGGTGGGGCAGGATGCCGCTTGTGTAGAGCGAGAGGTTGTGAAGGGCGAGGGCTCGTGTGGAGAAAGCGAATATGCTTTTCGGTACCAACAAAAGGTGTGTGTAGGAGTTTTCTTTCTCTGCGCTTGGAAGAGCAAGCCTGTGTCGTCTGGTCTTGGGTAGGGCCAAAGGGCTAGACATGCATGTGTGATGTTGCGTAATCGGCCAGCGGCGCTAGAGACGCCTGGACAGGGGAGCCACTGCCTGCTTCATTACCATCGCCATCACGACTACACGCGCATGCCCGAGACGGCCAGCAACAAGATGGCGGCCACGGCAGGTGGGCCTCTATCAGCGTTCCAGTCGCCGACGTTTGATCGCGATGTCGAGGTCAAAGTAGATGACGAGATTGGCGCTGCCAGCATAAGCCCAGCAGGCCGCGACATCGTCCTTGCCAGCAAGAGCGGCCTCCGCATCATTGACTTGGACAATCTTTTTTCCTTACCTCGTTTCATTCCAAACCAATCGTCGTGGGATGTCGCTGATGTGCAGTGGTCACCCTTTGCGGCACGCGCAGAATGGATTGCTACTACCCGCAATCAGCTCGCGCTCGTATACAATCTCTCCATGCCGTACAACAGCAAGAAAGCACCCATTGAATACACGCTACGCGCCCATGAACGCGCCATCACAGACATCAATTTCTCTGCCCATCATCCAGACTTACTCGCGACATGTGGAGTTGACAGCTTCGTCTTCATACATGACCTCCGGAGTAGGCAAGCCCCGTTGAAGCTCGCCGACTATACTGCTGGAGCAACCCAAGTCAAATGGAATCGCCAGAATGACAAGATTATTGCCAGCGCCCACGACAAGTACCTCCACATTTGGGATACTCGCCATGGAGCGACTCCCCTCTCGACCATTGCCGCCCATACCACCAAGATCTACGGTATTGACTGGAACCGCAACGACCCAAGCAAAATCATGACATGTTCTTTGGACGCGACCATCAAGCTTTGGAGCAATGTAGGAAGGTCTGATCATATCACTGCCCCCCGGCGCGTCATCCGCACTCACTATCCTGTATGGCGAGCGCGCCACACACCCTTTCCTCACGGCATTCTTGCCATGCCGCAACGAGGTAATTCGAATCTTTGGTTATACAAGCATGTCACCGATAGCGATGCGTCAACCTTTAATAATGAGCCAGTTCACGCCTTTCAAAAGCATGATTCTGATGCTCAAGTCCGCGAGTTCCTATGGCGTTCTCGTGGCTCTACTGACTACGGCATCGATAATCGTGACTTCCAGTTGATTTCTTGGGGGACCGACAGGCGCCTACAACTTCATCACCTCGATCTCAAGCTTCTCGAAAAGGCTGTCGGCTATCGAAAAGGCGAACGTCTTGTCGAAGAGCCCAGTGCGACGCGTAGAGGGGCTACCTATGTATCTTATCGCGATGGTCCTATTCCTACTACTACTACTGCAGGTGATCGGGACTACTTTGGTCCACCACGCCAACAACGGAAAGGGAACTTGTCAACCTTGCTGCAGAACTACTCCCTCAACGAAGACGTTCATACTTCTCGCTTTCCTGGACAAACACACGCCAAGATACATCCAGAGATAGTGCAGAGAGAGACCATGACTGCCCAGCCCATTCGCCGCAACGACCCACGTGTTGTTAACCACATCACTTGGATCAACGGAGTCAAATTCGGGGGTGATCGTCACAATAATGTCAATGATATTCACGCTCGGCCCAACCAGCAGGATCTTGGCGAGAAGTACCCGTACCAAGAGCAGAATGACCTCGGTGCTGAGATATCATATGTCGGCAACAAATACAAGAAGCTCGCTTTTGAAGAGATTGACGTGCCGGGTCGCTACATCAAGGTCTCGTTCAGCGGGCCCTGGGGTGATCACGATCCTGCAACTGATGGCGCAAAGCTTGTGTTTCTTCGATTTACTATCAGGTTTCCGTCTGCTTATCCCAAAGCTGTTGAAAATGGGCAGCCCGATTCCATTCGCCACAGGATACCAACCCCACTAGATATTGAATTCGAGAGGACAACAGCATCCATCAGCAAAGAACACCAAGAAGAACTAGTCCACAATATGCATCGTATCGCTGCTACCTGTGCTGAACAGGAACGCGAGGCTCTGGAGGCAGTACTCTCGTATGCTTTGGGAGAGCGCGCTTTGGACGATAGCCTGGACCTGGGCGAAGACGTTGAACCACTCGAAGATCTTGGACCCTTGCCGGGAGAAAGTTCCAGCGAAGACGAGGATCACGAGGGCGAGTTTACTGATGACGTGATGCAATCCTCTCATATGAACGCTGACATTCCCCTTCCCATTCAGTGTACTGCCCGGTTCTCAGCCGATGGGTCCCTTGTGGTTGCAAGGATACCACCAGTAAAATCAATGCCTGGCTCAGAGGTGTTCAGATTTCAGATTGCGAGAAATCTTCGCCAAAGTGGCCTGAAGAACGATATCTTTGACTCTTTTGGTCGCTTTACTTCCCGTCGTGCTGAGGATTCAGATGGAGCGTCGTCTCCATCCTCTTCTGTTGGTTCTTGGGAAACTTCTTCCACTCCGTCGTCTTCTTCTGGGTCTGATCATGACGGGAATGCACGTATTGGCAACTTTCAGCCTCCTCTGGCTTGGCAGAAATCTATTTCTCGCTTTCAGTCACGGAACTCGTTACCTTCTTCGGGTGGTGTGGCAAAACAGCCATCCAAGACCAAATCTACAGTGTCGATCCTGTTCTCGGCTACAGATGACATGGTTCCGAGCAAGCGTGTACTTGCGGAGGAATATCGCATTTTTGGCCCTGGGCCCATCATTTGCGAGCACAACTCTGAAGTAGCAAGAAGTCATGGATTCGAGGATCTTGCCGATATCTGGATGCTTTGTAAACTAATTTTGAGCAATGAAGTACCTGTGGAGATACTTCCTCAACAATATCGGAGAGACCAGGTCCTTGTGCTGGCCCGAAGGGCTCTTGTAAGGATCAAACGTAAAGACAGTGGGCTCGACCTCGCGTTTGACGAGTCAGAAAGCGTGACCAACCCTCAGCTGAATGCTCGAGTCAAGTGGGGTCATCATCCTATCGTCACTTGGCTGATACCTGCACTTTTTGACCACTTTGAACGCCTGGCAGATGTTCAGATGCTTGCTATGTTGTCTTGTATATTTGCGGAACCTGCTACGCGCGAAGGTGTGACCTCAGCCATGGCTAAAATGCGGCAATCTCAGCTCCCTATGTCTATGGAAGCACCGGCGTTCTCTCTAGACTACTTCCCCTCGTCGGACGCGGCATGGAGTTTGTTCAAGCCCACGATTTCCATCCCACCTACGCCTTCGTATTCCCGCTTTGCAACCCCGGTCAATGAATCTGGTTCCCAGAGATCCGTTAAGAATCTCGATATCTACGGAAGTCATGGGAGTTCGAACGGGCCATGGAGTAGCGACGCATTCCATTCGGACCCCGTTACACCCTACTCGACTGGCAACACGCCACCTCTCTTGTCTCAAATACCTCCAATTAGAAATGCTTATACAGCAAATCACACTCCATATGGAACATCCCCAGAGAATAGCCATACAGCTCATAAGAAGAGCTCGACTGCAAACTTTGCGAGTGCTGTAGCAGCATTGTCACGGCCTTTTTCGAATGCAATGTCTTCGTCGCCTCCGGTCAGGTCACGGATCGAAGATCTCTCTACATCTGCGCCGACTAGTGGGGTGACTTGGGGAACAACGACATTCTATGGAAGTGACTCTCATGACCAAAACAGCATGGCAGCTCCACGCACAAAGCAAGGAAAGCGCGCAAGCTTCGGACAGTCTGAGCACGTCGATATCAACTATATTGGCGAATCCGACTCGGACTACGAAAAGGTGGATGATGAAGGCAGCTACGCCACGACAGGTGTCAAAGAACGCAATGTGCCCGGCACGCCTCGAGAGGGCGATGGTGGCAGGGCTATCAAGGTTACACTAAAAAACCAAGACCAGTTCGATGACGAGGCATGTTTCAGCCGGCCGTTACTAGATGCAAGTAAAGATTGGCTACATCGTGTCTGGCGAGAGCAGTATGCTGAGATGCTGAATCGGTGGGGCCTAGTCAGTGCTCGAGCTGAAGTACTCAAGTTTAATGGGCTTGTTTCGTACTTTCCAGTCGAGTATTCTCGTACCAGCTCAAAGTCTGGCTCGATTTCACTTGCGATCAAACGGTCTAGCGATGACGAAGAAGAGGAGGATGAGAAGATAGCTCAACGCGTATCAAGGGCCTCAACAACATTAGTGCCTCCAACGCCCACTACGGTGCAATCGAAGCGCCTATCTACTGCATCTCCAAAGCACTTCTCCTTCAATCCAGAGGCTACAGAGTTCCAGCCCAGCACCATAACAAACATCCTGTCGGAAGAACAGATAGCGGACCTACCCATGGATGCATTCATTCCTCCGGAGCAATACTTGCGTCTCTCGATACCAGTTCGCACGCCCATTGCAGAGCTTGACGAGAGCCTTGCTGGACTAAGCACATCACCTGCTCAGTCCAAACTGCAACCGCCCCCAAGCCGGTCCAGCAGACCAAGCCTCTCACGAGGCACATCCAACGTCTCCGGCGGCTCGTCGTGGCGCGAAAGCCGCCCAGCCCCCACCGTCAGCACGGAAATCTCCAAGCCCGCAGAGGTGGAAACCACCTACAGCTGCAGCATCTGCTGGATCCGCGTCTCCGGCCTCTTCAACCTATGTCCCGCGTGCGGCCATGTTGCACACATGGACTGCATGGGCGACGAAATCGGCGTTGACGAAGGCGAGTGCATCGTCGGCTGCGGTTGCGGCTGCGGCCTCGAAGACGACGACGAGCGCTCCAGAATGGAAGCGTACATCGAGGGTGTCCGCGCCGCGCACGCTGAAGGCAGCGCCTGGGAAGACGGCAGCGAGTGGATGCCCAGCGGCACCACGACGCCTGCGCTGTATCCTGAGAGTGCGTACGGTGATTTCATGACGGGTGGCGCGAGTAAGATGATGGGGAGTGAGGATAGGAAGAGGGAGAGAGCGACCGGGGTGGGGCGCAGAGATGTGGTGAGTCCTACGCCTACTAAGACGAAGAAGAAGAGTAAGAAGAAGGCTAGGGCTTCGGGGTTGAGTTATTATTGAGGTTGAGGCAGTGTGTTTTCTTTTTGTCCGTTTTTTTTCGGTTCTTTCTCGGAATTTGCTTTTGTGGGTTTATGCGGGAAATGGTGGTGTTGTACGATTACGCAGAGTTGATACCCTCCCCATGATGTATACATTTGCCGTGGGCCATGTAATACAGCTGCAACGTTTTTTTTCTTCCTCTTTTTCTTCTTCTTCTTATCTCTTCTTCTGTTTCTTTTGTCACAGGCTTCCCCTTTCTTTCCCCTTTCTACAATCTCACATGCTAACGGAGTTCAGTAACCACTAATGTAATACATTATCGTGTATAAGTATTTTCCTTTTCTCGAGAGATGCAGGAACCCTGGATGTTGTACTTCTCCGAAAATTTCAGCCAAGTTTACTTGTGGTAGTGTGCGTTTTCCAACGAGGCAAGGAAAATAGAGGTAGAGATTTTTGGGGATGAGGCTGTAGATTTACACACAAAAGAGTTCATGGTATTTCTATCTCCCGTCGAAAATCATCAAGACTAGCCACATATGATACCATCATTTACTCCTAAAATGCTAGCACTGGGTAGATGATGGATGGACATGAATGAATTTCGACTTATTCTTCACCTGGCCCACTTGCTCTCCTTGAAAAGAATCAAGGGCAACAAAAAAAAACGTCCCTCATGATCTCCCCACTCATGCCCAAGTCTATAAAACTTGTCCAACAACCCACACTTTACTTCAACGCCTTCTCCGCCTTTTGGGCGGTGTTCTTCAAATCCTGCAACTCACCCTTTGCCTGGCCCTCTGTGTTCTTCAGGCTCTGGTTGTAGAGATAAATACGACCGACCTGAGTCGCACCGACGCAAAAGACGAGGAAGTTGACAGCGGCGAGAGCAATGTTCTTGGGGCGGATGACGAAGCACCAGCGGGTCCAGATGGCACCTGTGCACATGAGGGCAAAGTTCTGGGTGAAGGAGAGGGATTCGGCGGGGCGGGAGAAGTCGGAGGCGCCGGCGAGGACCATGCCCCATTTCATTACTGGGGCCCTGCAGAAGTAATCAGTACATGTTGAAGTTCATATGCTGTGTTTGTGTTTGGCAAAGGGTGCGTTTCGGGCAAAATCACTTGCGCACGCGACGCTTCGGACATTGCGGGGGGAAAGTTCGAAGCCGCCAGTCTTCCCCCCCCCCCCCAAAAAAAACGTGCGTTTGTCGCAAAGAATGGAAGACTACAGGGAAGAGGCGAAGCAGTGCGTACCAGAAATGCACAGTCTTTGGGCCGATGGGACTGTTCCAGAACTTCTGGAAGCCAGCGGGCTCGGCACCGGCAGCCGTGTTGACTCGTCGGCGGGCATTTGCGCGTTGGAAGAAAGGTCGGAAGGAGCTGAAGATGCGGGAGCCGGGGCGGAACGACATGATTGCTATGTTTTCTGTCCCTCTCACTTTTTTGACAGGGTAGGAAGAGGCGGGGCTTTGTCCGGAGAAGGGTGAGTGAGGTCCGGAAGCAATTGACAAATGCTGAGGTCGTTTGTCGTTGGCGGCGATGTCGGGCCTGAGGGTTCGTCAGATGGGACAAATCCGGGATTAAACAATGGCGCTTCGTTGCTCCGACGGTGTTAGGCTACTTTGGGTATAGCGCGTTCTTGCCGGGGGGGCCAGCTCGACGAACATTGAATGTCGGCGCGGGCGGGCGCTTTTGGAGGGTGACGACACCTCCCTCCAATTGATACCCTTTCACGCAAACGATCTTCACGCCCACGTTTCTCGCAATGGCCTCGAAAGCATTTGGAAACGGGCTCAAGGAGCTACGCTTCCTGTTTTGCCAGACTAGCGAGCACAGCGCTGCGACAAGGTATGCGCCTTCACGATACAAGATGTTTTGAGCGAGGGGAGTCGCAAACGCGATTGCGCATCATGGGGTAGTTAGAAAAGAAAATGTAGCTGACGGAATGATACAGGAACTTCCTCACCCGAAGCTATCCCGCCATGAAGAAGGCCAACCCGTCGATTCCTATTATGATCCGAGAAGCCAGCGGCACCGAGCCCACAGTCTTTGCGAGATTCGGTGCGTAGAAACGTAATTGGAAGAGAAAAGAGGACAAGGAATGCTAATTACGGTTTACAATTCTAGATTTCGGAAAGGAGAGGAAGTTGCCGCTCAAGGGCCTCGACGACAAGGCCATCGAGCAACAAGTATCAGAACTGGTACAGAAGGGCGCATGAGGATGTGATTGGAAAAAATAGCAAAGAAGGAACGACCAAAAGGGACGACATCACATACGATTGAATTCAAAGGAAGCCACCGTAGGCTATTCTCTGTATATTCGCCCTCGACTTAAACCATACAACAAAGTCATCAACTTGATTCTCCTCCCTTCCTTCCCTTTTCTTTCCTAACGACCACATACCCCATACCCCTTTATATAACTACCAATCCAAAAAAAAAACCAACTTTCGGCACACTCAACCACACATGATCACAGCATGGCAGACAAGCATCACATTTCCACCATCACATCGCAAGTCACACACCCACAACCACTAGTGCCATGTCAGTTTTTTTTCTTTTGTACAACCAAACTATACCCGTCGATACCGAAATTTTCGATCAAACTTTCACCATGCAGGGTAGCGTCATGGGTTTTGGGCGAAGTGACACGGGGGGGGGGGGGGGGGTTTGCATGGGCGTGTGTGAGGTGATTGAGTGAGCATGTGATCAAATGGGTATGTGACGAAGGTGTTTTTCGATGTGTGTGTGTGCGGATGGCAAGGTTGCAGCCGCGGAGGGTTGAGGGGTTACGTATGTGTTGGTGATGATGTGCTGTGAATCGTATGTTGCATATGTGTGTGTGTGTGCTGGAAAATAGATTGGAGGAAAGTTTTTTGATGGGTTTTAGTATTGGGTGTAGTATGATTACGGTAGGATCCATGGAGTATATTCTAGTTGTGTGGTAAAATCATTAGTCTCCGACATCTTTTGAAAAGGAAATTCATGTTAAACTTGGTCATTCATGTTGTATTCACAATCCTGCACCTCACCTGACAATCACGTTTTTTTCTTTTGCAATTTAACTTTCAATAGTAGGACAAGCTCATGCAACTCAGGTACAGAGACGTCAGAGGACCCAGCTTCCATGGTTTCCTATCTAGGCATAGACTATCTGTCATACCCGTCTCTCCCGGAAGCCGCGTTCCAAGCGAGAGGTGTATTGAGAAATGTACTTGTTTCCCCCTTCCTTTGGACTAGCTAGTCTTGTACTATGCAGGTACGTGGAAGGAAAAATTGCTGAAGTTGGTACTACATGGGATTGCGTACTCCCGGTGCATCTTGATCTTGCACACTGATCAAGTTCGAGGAGAAGGGTATCCGTAGTGGAGGGAAGAGAAGAAAGATATTGTGTATCGTAAGAGGTATCTAATGCGACATGCTGAAATTACATATTGAAATGACCCAATTGCGTAACGTTCTGGAACCAGTTCCAGTGTTACTGCAACAGTAGGTTCTAAAACATTACTTTTTCTGGGAAAACAGGTTATTTCCGGCAACCTGTCAGGTCCCGTGGACGAATGGAAGGTGTTGCTGAACGCCCCCTGGTCCTGCCGAACTACCGTCGACCTTGGATGCGTATCACCCTTTACACCCAAACGCCAATCGAGTGCGTGATTAAAACGAATAGTACGATGATTTTGCAATCATCCAAGAAGAATCTCCCAGTTCCAGTCCTTCATGACTCCCAGCCAATGCAATCGTCCCTTGACTGTGACCACTGGGTCCATTGGACTCATATGGGGAATTGATGCCTGCTCCCACTGCTGTGTGTCTCTCCAGTTGAGCTCGTCTAGCAAGTCGAACTCATCGTTTCGCATTGTTGCATACGACGAGAAGCTTTGTGTGCAATTGTCATCTACTTGTGTGGCCATGCGTTCTGCTGCGGATGCGTCCCGTCGACTCCATACTTCCTTTGTGACTTCCAGACACCGTTCTATAATCCCCAACTTCATGCGCGAAGACATGAGTTCCCATCGGGCTTTGACCCATTCACGTTCCTCGGGACTGGTGACCTCACAGCCAGCTGCCATGAGGGGGTAGATATGTACAATGATTGAGCGGGAGCGCGGATCAACCGTCGCCAAGTCGCACAGAACCTTCTTTGCCAGCGCACTCGAAGACAGTGACGGAATCTCTGGAACAGCCTGGTGTAGATACAATAGCGTTGCATTTTGGTAGGCGATTGCGGTTTTTATCGTGTCATGCGGGCTTGTTGTTTCGTCCTCGGGGTCTTCGATGAAGGAAGGTGGGATCCAGTCTTCGAGCTGGGATTTGAGCTGCATAGCTTGCGAGATAATTGTAGGTCCATTGCCGTTGGACCTTCGCACCTTCCTGACAAGATTTGCCACGCGACCAATAATCGGGAACAGAGTATGCGCACAGCCCATCAACGGATCAAGAGTTGTATCAGTCTCGCCGGTTCCGTAAATGCTTTCTTGAACGATGTCGACATCGTAAGTCTCATCTTCGTCGGTGGACGTCAAGCGAGCGAGGACGTCCATATAAATCCAGGCATTGCAAAGAAACTTTAAGCGAGTCCACTCCTCGCCCTTCATAGGCGTTAGGCGATGTTGTATGAGTGCTTGGTTGATCAAGACCTTTGCGCCTTTGATATGGTTGATGCCTGTGCTGATGTGTTGATCCCAAGACTCAGCAAAAGCCAGTACCAAGGTGGTGGAGATGGCTGCATCGACACGCATGTTTGGTAGGCCTGCAGCCAGGGCATGAACTGCACTTCGCATATGGTCGATTCCTTGGATGCGCAGAATGGGAATGTCTTTGGACTGGTGAAAAGATGTCATGGAGACGATTGCGTGATAGAGAGCAGGGCACTCTCGTGTCAGAGGCCAGATTAAAGTTCGCCATGGGTTCTCGGTTGGACCATCTTTGACAGACAGCACGCCGCATGTGTCGCGATGGTAGCGACGTGACAAAGACTCTGCTGAAAAGGAAGAAAGCTGTATCTGAGCGGGTATTCCGCAGGTAGGAGAGTCTGCTGAAGATGCGCTTGAGCTAGATGAGGCAGGCGAGGGAAATGGTAAGACCCAGTTTCCTGGGTCTTGACGAGTGTAGCGTACTAGTTCCTCGTTCTCGTCGTCCTGATCGGTGGGCGCTGGTGGGGTTAGACCGGTGGGCTGGTAGAAGGCTTCATGCTGAGTTAGGAACGACGAGTATTCTTCTGGTGGCACACTGAGGTCTGTTCCCGGCATTAGGAGATCTACAAGACGGGGTGATTGACCAGACGAGACGCTGGAATCGGCTGTCCCCTGAGTTTGTGCTGTGCTTGTGCTGTCCGCCCCAAACGTACTGCATGATGCTAGAGATGCTTGTGCGTGTGAGTCGACAGGTGATGTCAACGGAAGCTTTGTTGTGAAAGGTGATGCGGATGGGGCAGCGGGCAAGTTTTCTGCTAGTTGGAGTGGAGGCTGAGGGAATGATGGGCCTGCAGGTGAAGCATGCATGAAGTGGTAGGGCGGTTGAGGCTGGGGCAAATGTGGATTGGGGGGTATACTAGTGAAATCATGTTGGTGACTGTGGGTACGGGTGTGGTCTTGGGGTGGTGAGTTGGTAGAGGTGGGTACGTGGTCTACGTCTGTTAGGAGGGGCTTGCCACTTTGATCGAGCGACCGACCTTTGCGCGACTTGGCATTTGATTTCCCCCTGACGATGGGCTCTTCGAAAGGCCTCCACTTGAAGTCCTTCTTGTAGCCACCACATGGCACTACACGCCGCGCACACTGGTCGCAAGTGGGCTTCTTTTCATCACACTTCAAGCGCTTTGCTTTGCATGTGATGCATCCTAGGCAAAGGCATCAGCATGGTGGTTTGGCAGGAGATGGCCACATGTTGGGTGTCGGTGAAGAGGATAACAAGGGGAGGATCCGAGCGTACCATTGCGGCTCTTTGTCTGCTTCCTCTTGTTGAGAAGAGCATTTGCAGGTGGTTGTGAGGACATGTTCTTGCCAGACTTTACGTCAGCTCGGGCATTCTCCGGGAGGACTAGTTGCAGCGGAGGGGCGGGATCAGCGGTAGCGTCCGGCGTGGGCAGGAAGGGACAAGAGAGCCGGGTTGCTGCACCAGCTTTGGGGCAGAGTGTGGCTTCATATGCATTCACATGAGAGCAAAGTGTCTGCAGAGAAGCGCGGCAGGATGAAAAGGTTAGGTAGATAAGCAGCACGGAGGGATGGGGTCGCTAAAGTGGAGCTGAAGCTGGGGGAGGTGGGCAACTACTTGGCTAGCGCAATGGCTATCAAGCGGGCTTGGGAACCAGTCGTGGGGAACACCAAAGTGAAGAGCATGGTGAAGCATGGGCAAGCCGGAGATTGCGGCTTGCGGTGCTGCCCAAGTCGATGGCACTGTGCTTACTAGGCCTACGTGTCTATGTACTCGAGTCTAGACAGGCGTGCGACGACATGGAACAAGTCCAGAACGCGGTGTTGTTTGGGACGTGGTGCAGACGTGATCGCCGCCATTCTGTAACCAGAACCCTGCACCTGTCCGCCGGCCTGTTGAACCGCTCCACAAACGGCCCTCAGCCTTGTGCCGGAAGCGATGCGAGACGGGTCGAGGCGGCGTACAAGTGGGAGGGCTAGCACACACGTACACATGACCCAAGCAAAGGGGGGACATGGATTCACGCTGGGCCAGTCTTGTGGGAGTGAGCATGTATACATATATCATGTACTTGGCCAACTATACGACAGGATGACCAAGTATACCGGCGATTCATGCTTGTGCGGGCATCAGGCGGCAGCCCGAGTCAGCGGCGTGTCTATCCTCATGGCTATCAATCAAAGTCACGTGGTGGGCCGCCCAATCATAGGCGGCCACCTTCTCCTGGGAACCAAACGCCGGGCGACTCTTGGTTTTGCTTTTCACAAGTCTTGTGCTGACTCTCTAGACATGGTGCTTTAATTGGGCCGCGGACATGAGCGATGCGCTTCCGCGTTCTAGAAACCGGGCACGGCTCGCCATGGTGGGGACGTGGCTAAGTAGAGGCGAGCGGTCCGCAATAGCGTCATCAGTCAGTCGTGTCCATGGACAAAGAGAGGCGCGTGTCGAGCAGCACAAAAGAGAACAAAGGCGATCAATAAGTAAGTATATACTACATTGAGATGTACACGCGTGGCGTCTTGTACTAGTATCAATATCATAGACATGTCAGACTGGCGTC